GATGGCCAGAGGGAGAGTGCATTTTCAGCAAATATACATTTTTAAGTGAACTATTCCATTAATATTAGTACAGGAATTGAAAAATACTAACTGAAGTCTATAGCTCACAACACAGACATTTAGATATGCAAGTATTTCACATTTCACTCTTCTCCCGTTCATAGCTGACAGGCACTCAGTAGCCTGGCTTCTAATTTTATTTCTCAGCAAAGGTCAGTAGGGAGATGTTTGCTATTGCTGGTATTATTGCTGCAAGACACTGTTTAATAGATGAAGTGTAACTGTCAACACTTCGTTTGACATTTTAGCGCCCATCCTTCCTGTTTCGTTGCTTTTACTTTACCCTGAGTTCATAACTTATTTTAGTTTTCTCAGTTTAGATCAGCTTTCTGCAGGGGCTCATAAGCAGAGATGAACTCCATCTCTGCATGTGCATTTAATGTGTGCTATAGGTTTCCTTTATTTATATACCAACATTTTTGGAGAGAAGATTACAGAATTTCATCAGGACTCAAAATAAAAGCTTGATCATTTAAACTGTTGAAAGGTCGAGGGTTTGAATGTTTAAACGTTTGAAAGTGAAGAATTTAACACATAAATATCATATTGTAACTTGTAAAAAATTACCACATATTAATTTATTTTATAGTATAATGCAATTGTAATTTACAACAGTAACATATTTCTTTTCATAATTTTTATAATTCAAGTTGATAATATTAATGATATTAAAATTATGAATAATATTAATAACAACAACCATTTTTTCATTAAATTAATCAAAGTATCATTAAATTAGACTGGGTAACTTGGACTGAGACTATCACAACAAAAAAGAGGTTTGATTCAAAATCACATCTAAGCAGCTTATAGCTATTAAGCTCATTTAAGCTCATAAAAATTTATAAATAAAATATGTGCCACTATTAACCTACGCAGACAACAATTAAATGTCTGTCATGCATATTCTGCAAGGACATCTGTTAAGTTACAGACTCAAAATATGGGTAAAACACCAGAAAAAAAAACAGCTGTAAAACACCCAAAACACATTCATTTATATTCTTCTAAATATGCATATTTTTGTATTTACTTTGGAAAATACATGTTTCTGTGATTATAAATGATTGCTGGGGAGTGTACCTGCTCCCTGCAAGAACAAATAGCCTATTATTCTACAGGCACTGAAATGCACAAACGATTGGAAAATGAAATTTAAGTGTTTCCATCCCACTGATGCTGCATGATATTGCTGTTCCATTTCAAGCGTCCACATAAAGCTAAATACAAAAATTTATAAATAAAATATGTGCCACTATTAACCTACGCAGACAACAATTAAATGTCTGTCATGCATATTCTGCAAGGACATCTGTTAAGTTACAGACTCAAAATATGGATAAAACACCAGAAAAAAAAACAGCTGTAAAACACCCAAAACACATTCATTTATATTCTTCTAAATATGCATATTTTTGTATTTACTTTGGAAAATACATGTTTCTGTGATTATAAATGATTGCTGGGGAGTGTACCTGCTCCCTGCAAGAACAAATAGCCTATTATTCTACAGGCACTGAAATGCACAAACGATTGGAAAATGAAATTTAAGTGTTTCCATCCCACTGATGCTGCATGATATTGCTGTTCCATTTCAAGCGTCCACATAAAGCTAAATATAAAAGGCTTTCAGGAAGTGATCTATCTACTCATTGTTTTTCTCATTGTTTTTAGCCCACATAATGATCTGTGATCTGATTTCATTGCTAATAAAATATTCATGGGCAAACATCAATGTAAAGTGAAGCATTATATGTTATACTGTAAAAGTCTTCATCTATGTAAAGGCTATTTGATGGTTTCTGAGCGCTGTAAAGCTCACACACTACTTTCCGATGATGGGAAGGCATTAACCCCTGAAGATTACACACCAAAGAAGCTCAATCCAATTAGCTAATTACAGATGGATTGACGGTAAATGTAGAGTGAGAGAAATGTGTGACCTCCTGTTAAGTTTATGGTCTGTGTTTAATTTTAGTTCAGCTGTTATTAGCAACTCTATTTCGCTTTGTGCTTTATTCTGAACCGGTTTCAGTTTCCTAACTTATGTTAAACATTGGACTAAAGTAGCTTGTGATGTCAATGGTTTTCCAGTCACATTAAACAGGTTAATTTTAATGTTTTCCATGTGCATGACCATTTGTAACGGTCTGTCTGTCCGTTCAAGTTTTGAACATAGCTGTTAAACGTGTAGAAGTTTAATCCTTAATCCTATATAATATTATATACAGGTGCATCTCAATAAATTAGAATGTTGTGGAAAAGTTCATTTATTTCAGTAATTCAACTCAAATTGTGAAACTCGTGTATTAAATAAATTCATTGCACACAGACTGAAGTAGTTTAAGTCTTTGGTTCTTTTAATTGTGATGATTTTGGCTCACATTATTTTGTGTATTTGGTGTAATGAAATGTGTTTATGCAGTTTCAAGTTAAAAAAACATTATTTTCCACATACTGTACATTACTGTTTCTCCTCTATGCCCCGCCTTTTTGAAACGCGTCGATTTTTACAAAGCTCATCGGTCTGAAAAAGCGAGGTGTGCTCTGATTGGCCAGCTATCCAGTGAGTTGTGATTGGCCGAATACCTCAAGCGTGAGACGGAAATGTTACGCCCCTCACATACTGTTGATGCCGTGTCCCGGCCAGAGCGACGAAACAAAAAACACGAAAACCCATTACAAACGAGGCATTTGTTGCATCCAGTGGGGACATAATTACTGATTATAATGACTTATACTGTCTTTTTACGCCTTGCGTTGCATTGCATCGCATCGTACCGCGTAAACATAAAACCCCGTCTGCATTTGTGATCAGAGAAATGCCAAACAACAAGTGCTACTCCACACAACCCAAAACTCGAGTTTGAATCATCAGTGGCAAATGATAAAAGAAAACGTACTTACGTGAGTCAGAACTGCCGGCATTTTAGTCTAACGTTACTCTCCCAGGATCAGTAAACAGTCCTCCATAAAATGTGCCCGGCGATCCACAGCACTAAGTTGATGTATTCACTCAGCGACCAGCACGGATCAGCTCTATGCATGACGAAGCGGATATTGTCCTCTTTTTGAAGACCAAACAAAGTATCCCAAGTTGCTTGAAGTCCAGTGTTAAGTTTCCACAGTCTGTGATGATTTCACGGCACCCGTTTACCAAGAAACTTTGGAGCACTTCATGCTTCCTTCTGCTGACCAGCTTTTTGAAGATGCTGATTTCCTTTTCCAGCAGGATTTGGCACCTGCCCACACTGCCAAAAGCACCAAAAGTTGGTTAAATGACCATGGTGTTGGTGTGCTTGACTAGCCAGCAAACTCACCAGACCTGAACCCCATAGAGAATCTATGGGGTATTGTCATGAGGAAAATGAGAAAAAAGATACCAAAAAATGCAGATGAGCTGAAGGTCACTGTCAAAGAAACCTGGGCTTCCATACCACCTCAGCAGTGCCACAAACTGATCACCTCCATGCCACGCCGAATTGAGGCAGTAATTAAAGCAAAAGGAGCCCCTACCAAGTATTGAGTACATGTACAGTAAATGAACATACTTTCCAGAAGGCCAACAATTCACTAAAAATGTTTTTTTTATTGGTCTTATGAAGTATTCTAATTTGTTGAGATAGTGAATTGGTGGGTTTTTGTTAAATGTGAGCCAAAATCATCACAATTAAAAGAACCAAAGACTTAAACTACTTCAGTCTGTGTGCATTGAATTTATTTAATACACGAGTTTCATAGTTAATGAATAATATCTGGAACAAAATGCTTAAACTTAATTACACAATAGAGTTGACACCAAAAAACATAGTGACACCACTGTCTAAACATGCTAAATAAAATGTCATATGAAATCCCCTTTTTCAAGTCACATAAAACGAGTCATGGCCACAAACAATGACAATATATTTTCCAGAGGACCTCATTTTGTCTGGGGGAAAACGTTAATGCATTGTTTTTTACAGTCTTCGTGTTCAGGGTGGAGTACTGACAATAACAGTCACTACATGTGACATTTAAGGGCATTTTATGTGGTTGAAAACAACTACAAGAGTATTGTGTGGGATTTTATGTTTTCTGTGGAAACTCGAAGCAGCATGTAAACACAATGCGCAACGAGTCTTTTCAGGAATTTATGTCTAAACTTAATTAAACAATGCAATTATCACTACCGAATAAAAGAGTAACATAACTGTCTTAATAGCAAGTAATAGCTCACCTGCTAATTTCAGCGCCACCGAAGTGACGGAAGGGAACTGTCTGCAACATGATACATTTTAACGAATGCGTCCTTAGCCCCGCCCACAATTCACGCCATTGGTTGAATCGTCAATTAGTAATTACTAACCTAGTCGTCAATTAGTATGTAATATTAATACATATTATTAATAAAAACGCTACTAATAGTAATTATTATTTTATTAATTATTTATTGATAATTATAACATTTATGTTTTTTTCTCTCTAATATATATATTTAATATATATTATATCATATTATTTTCTCTAATAAAAATATTCACATTTTTAGCTAATGGACAACAGGTGTTCCGCAGGACTTCAAAGACTGGCTCAGCCTTGCTCCAGATATCAAAGGTGCTTCAAAAGCAGCAAGAGACCAGATGTTTATAAACCTGGAGCATTGAGATTGGCATGAGATAATGAAAATATTCCCCTTCCTGGATTTTATAACAAGAACTCCCTGTGCCTTTCAGAACATTTACTGATGGAATTATTGGTGAAGTCCATAAATGAAGTTTTTTTTTGTTTTTGTTTTTAGCAAATCTATGACTATTTGTATTGTTATCTGTATTTATTCTGAGTGAACCATTAAAGTTAGGTGTCTTCCAAGTGTGCTTAGGTGTGATTGTGCATAAGAATAACAGAGATTTCCAGCGCTAAAAAAATGATACTTTATTAGTTTTTGCTTAATGGGCATATTTAAAGGAAATACATAAGTAATGCATAAAAATTAATATAAAGTACAACATAACAGAGTGTGTCTAAAAGCTTAAAAGTCACATACTGGGAGGTATATAGATGTAGGTGAACATGATTCAGAGACTGCACAAAAATATTACTCATAAAATATAACTAATATGCATCAAATTACAAGAATAAAGGAACAAAGTGTCCCTTGTATAATATGATAAATAATTTAATTTAATTTAATATTGACGTGAAATACACTGGAATCAAGTAGCTGGTCCACAGCTGTGACACTTTTGTCATGTTGTCAATTCTGAGTCCCTCTCAATAATTAATGTGTTATGACATTAAATAAAAAATTAAAGAGAACATTACAAGCAATACCTTCATGCTATCAATGGGATAGAAAACAAAGCCAATATTAAATGTCTGCAAGACAAATATATGGTTTTGCATAAAACTACATTTCTACATCAACACATTTGAGTGAACATGTCAAAGAATATAAAAATTCCCTTCATTTTCATAAGTCTACAGCCTAATGCACTCCTTTTTCATTCCCTACAAACACAACAGCATCCAAACTTACTTTATTACTCAATTTATAGTTGTAATGAATTAAAAATATAAGGTGCGTAATCTTGTTCACTAAATATGTATATATAATTTTAAAATAAGAGAATTCTTTTAGAATATATATTTGCTGCATATTTTGACAGCTGTAATTGATCCATTGCATATTTATTTTGGAATCCCACATCTAGAAAATGTTTCACCTCTTTTAACGCTGTGTTTAAAGAACACACAGCCCATTTTCATTTAACTATATACAGCAGCCAAAAGCACTGAAGCCCAATAGTGACCTTGTTTTTGTTCACCACAGCCATAATTCCTTAACCCTTATTACAGCGCACAATTTCACAGACTTTCTGAACAACTATATGGATTTGATAACAGCCAAATATTTCTGTTTCTCTTTATAAAAGCAAACTCTTGGACCACTAGCACTATAAAGTTTGGGGAAAAATTGCTTGAAACGAGACAAATGACAGAGAAGAACTTAATATCGAAAGTAAGCAAGTGCAAACAAGAGTGCCATACATAATTTTTAATAAACAGATGCAATCTCCCAAATTAGGCTACACTAATGAGAGGAAGTTGCCGTTTTCCAGTAAACACATACACCATACACATACACAAGCTACAGTTCTTGAACGAAATACTGAACCAGTTAAATTAGACTAAGGAATTTAGTACACAAATCAGAGCAATATAAAATGCTTTCTATTCATACAGTGGAATGTAAAAGTGAGCAAGAGAGCTGTTGTTTAAATCACAGCCCCTCTAATATTAATATAATAATAATAATATGAATAGCACATCTGCGAGTGTGAAATTGCTTTTAACAGCCCAATAAACAAGTGTATGCGTTTTTGCTCCACTAATGAAAAAGGTTCCAAACGAAGCCACAGCAAAATTGTTGTGTGACTCTGAGGAACACAGGGTATTGGCGTTTCATTCCTCAATAAAGAAAGTTTTTGAATGTTTCGAATTAGCGTTTTTGAATTAATCAGTTGAGTGAATAATTCAATGACTCACTCATAAAGACAGTCATTGTTCTGTTCCTGAAAGAATTAGCATTTTTTAACAAATTGGTTGAATGGCTGATTCAAAGAATCACTCATGAAAATAGTAACTTGTTGCTATCTACTGGTGTATTATATTATGTAACGATACTGGTGAATGTTTTAAAAAGTGTCTTATGACCTAGAAATAGTGCAACTGAAATATTGCTTCTTCATTTTACTTCATGAAAATTCTAAGTCCTAAAATTTCCAGTTACCTAAGATGAGTATTTCTAGTTTCCAAAGTTGAAAGCCCAAATTTTCATTGTGGTCTCAGACTTTGGACTGCATTGTATACATTCAACAGCCACTCAACAGATGGCAAGCATGCGAGTTATCTGCTAGGATGGATGCTTTCTTTTACTTCAGTGTTTACTTCCCTATAAACTTCACTTGATAAGACCAACTACTGGCGCCTGGCAACATGTGACTGATGGTTTTAATCAGCTTACAGGTCATCAGAAGCGCTTGAAGACGGAAGCACTGACATTTATATAACTACCTTGACCTTAAAGCGAGCGCAGATAGAAGGCACTAGTGACAAATGCAGCCATTAACCAGTCCTGTGCTCTGAGCTTGAAAGCATCATTAGAAGCAGACCTAACTTGGCCAATCAAGAGGTTGTATTCCCTCACCGTTTTGGTGTAATCGAGTTCATGGGATGTACATTTGTAATTGCCATGTATGTCAGTCGTCATGGCTGGAATGAGGAGGAGACATTCTGATTGTGTCTGCTGGCCTGGGATGCTCTTTTGATCATGTTCCCATTTGTAAGAGGCATGATTGGAATCGACAGGACAAGAGAGGTAGAAGGGGACGCCAGTGGGCACAGAGAGTTCAATCCCTAATGGAGCTGTCAATGCTTGTTGCACATCTCTTGTGAATCTTCCATCTTAAAAGACATTCGTTAAAGATAGATGTGTTAGGAAGATGGGTTTGTCTTAAAAATTGAGCAAAAAATTATACACAAAACAATTAAATTAATCTTATACCTGATTTTTGGTGACATATTTTAGTGAGTCCATCAGCAATGTTTTGTATTCCTCCTCTGAAACACAGTCCAAACAGAAAAAAATATTAAAAACAATGCTAGGGTGTACAATACCCAAAAAAGACAGCATTTTAAAGCCAACATCAGTAAAAAATAATATAATATTCCTGAACTAAAACATATAAAAGCCTACTTAGTTTGTGATGTGCAGCCTTGTTCAGTCCAAGCGCAGTATGGATCACGGGAAAGGACACATTCTTCACAGGAAGCATTGTAGTCTTGACATCTCTGCAGGTCTAACACTGAAATCTGACCAGGATATCCTACAAAGAGCTTCCTCTGCAGGCAAAATCAACAGTGGGTGAATGTGCAACAGAAACTGAATGGAAGAGTCAAAGTGTTCAATGATTCAAAAGGCTGCTTTATTACCTTCTCAGAGTCAAGTTTCATTGAATGTACAGGTGCTGAACCATTGCACAGATGCGTTTCAGAGATGATGAATGCTTTGGAGCCGTCCTCCAGGATCTTAAGGATCACTCCATTGTCTAAGAAGAACCAAGACACCAAATGGCCGAGTAAGACTGTCTGTGGTCTGAAAGAACTAACGAAAGCTTTTGCAGTACAATACTAAGTGCATATAATGGAAAACATATTAACTCACATGGTGTATGATGGGCAATGATTTTTAAGCTTCAGACTATGATTCCATCCAACATGTCTGATATTTTGAACGAGTTCTTTTCTGTAACTATTTACAATGTCAGCAAGTGTATGATGCGTAGTGCTTAAAAATCTGTTCAGAATTTAAAAGTCATGTAGTGGTCATATCATCAAGAAACAAATTTACCATGATCTTTTGAAATGAAATTACTTATTAAACTCTCAAAGTGTGATGTTTCAGTTCGTTTCAGAACTTAAAACTTCCTCCAGAGTCCAAAAAGACTGTGGTTTCTGGTTATGTGTAGCACCTACTGCTCTGCATAGGCCTATCATTCTTAAGGATCCTTTGTTTAGCCTTCCAAAAGAGGACGATATCGCTTAGTCATGCCTGGAGCTGATCTGTGCTGGTTGCTGAGGAAATACAACAACTTTGTGCTGTGGATCGCCGGATCGGCTTTCACCGTGGACGTAGCAGCCCGGGGTCGTCGCATGTGGTTGCCACAAGCCGTCCGGACGCTCCTTCGTCGAATCCACCAGCCGCTCCGTTCTCAAGCCCACCGGCCTCTGCTCACTCTAGGCCGCCGTGTGTGATGCTGTGTTTCGTTGTGAAAGCGAAACTACTTTGTTTGGCCTTCCAAAAATGGACATGACTAGAAATCAGTGGTTAAGTTGTATTTACATCACTGTTCCAGAACACTTCAACCTAAATATTCAGATGTGTGCAACACATTTTATGGAGGACTCTTTCCTGATCCTGGGAGAGTAGACTACAATGCCGGCTGTTCTGACTCACAGACTGTAAGTACGTTTTTATATTTAAAGAATTCGCCACTGATGATTCAAACACGAGTTTTGAGCAGTGTAGAGTAGCGCTTGTTGTTTGTCATTTCTCCGATCACAAATGCAGACGGTTTTATTTTTACGCGGTGCGATGCAACGCAACACGTAAAAAGACAGTATAAGTCATTATAATCCATAATTATGTCCCCAATGGATGCTACAAATGCCTCGTTTATAATGGGTTTTCATGTTTTTGAATCATCGCTCCGGCCTGACACGGCATCATCACAGTATGGTAAGGGGCGTAACATTTCCGTCACACGCTTGAGGTATTTGGCCAATCATAACTCACTGGATAGCTGGCCAATCACAGCACACCTCGCTTTACAGATCGTTGAGCTTTGTAAAAATCGACGCATTTCAGAAAGGCGGGACATAGAGGAGAAACAATAATGTAGAGTATGTGGAAAATAATGTGTTTTTTTAACCTTAAACCGCATAAACACATTTCATTACACCAAATACACAAAATAATGTTCTTTTTAGCAGCATCATATGTTATAAGCAGACTTCAGTGAGAAAAGAAAACAGAACAAAAACCGGTAACAAGGGAAGGTTTTCCTTTTTCAGTAGTAGTGTTATTGTCTCTGGTATGAAGGAAGTCACAGAGCACACATCAATATGTAGACATCTTGAACCAATACACCATATGCGAGTATACCTGTTGCAAGCAGCAGCACACTGTGTATGCTGTCATCTGAAGCTTGGACTCGGTCAACAGCTATCTTGGTGAAGTTCTTATTACTTGTGAAGAAAGGTGTGTCTTTTTGAATGGGATGAATCCAGTCCTTCATCTCTGGATGGTCTTTAATAATTTGAAGGGTAGAAATTGGAATGGAATTGCTTTGTTTGACACACTGGAAAATATGGAGTTATATCTGTTATAATATCATTTCAGTCAGCATTGAGGTCACAAGTTACAACACAGCACAAGTGAGGTTGCAACCATCCCATTGTTACAAAGGCCATGGAAAAAATGACTGCTCATGTCCTCAAGTATAAGAGGAGATTTAAAATAGCTATTGTGAGGAAACCATAGCTTTGGTTCACCAACAATGGCTATAATAATAGGCCTGAACAATTCACCTTTGGGTCAAGAGTAAAATGATTAAGGAAGTTGTTGGGCATAAACAATATAGAAAACTAAAGCTTGAAAAAATGTGTATTGAATGTAATTTTGAATTGAAAAGGCTTCACTTCAATCAGATGTTAATCAGATGTTGTTGTTTTATAAAAAAAATTTAATGCAAAAATATCCCAGTGCGACAACGTCAAATTTGGTAAATGCTAACATATTTACACATATATTAATTCTAATTATTATTTACTTATTTAACCATTATCATAATTCAAGTTTTATTTATATTAATAAAATAATTATTTAAATTTTTTTTTATAATTTATTTATTTTAATTAAGAATTCATTAATTAATTTTAATTATTTTCAGAATTAAGTTTTTCTCTGAACTTTACAACAGACCAGATCAGTTTGACTCAGAACATAGTTATTTTAAAGGGGTCATATGATGCGATTTCAATTTTTCCTTTCTCTTTGGATTGTTACAAGCTCTTGGTGCATAAAGAAGATCTGTAAAGTTGCAAAGACTAAAGTCTCATAAATTAATTGCAAAAACAAGTAACTAGATTAATAAAGTGTGTGAACACTTAGCCTGAAAGTTTTAAGCCTTTGTAAAAGCTTGAAGTTTGAAAGTTTGGATTGATAGATTAGCTAAATGTTGATAGCATGTTGCTAGCATGATTTGACAAATTTCTAACATGATTTAACATGTTACTAGCATGATTTAACATGATTAGCATGCTGTTAACATGTTTTAGCATGATTATCATGTTTCTAGCATAATTATCATGTTTTAGCATTTTTTAACAAGTTTTAGCATGTTGTTAACATGATTTAGCTTGTTTTACATTTACATTTAGACATTTAGCAGACGCTTTTATCCAAAGCGACTTACAAATGAGGACAATGGAAGCAATCAAAAAAGTTTGAACATGATTAGCATGTTGTTAGCATGGTTAGCATGTGGTAAGTGTGTTGCTAATATGTTTCTAACATGATTAGCATGTTGCTAGCACATTGCTAATATGTTTTAGCGTGCTGCTACTTGCTAACATGATTTAGCATGTTGTTAGCATGTTTTAGGACGATTAGCATGTTGCTAATCATGTTTCTAGCACGATTACCATGTCGTTACCATGTTTATAGCATTATTAACATGTTGATAACATGTTGCTTGCATGTTTCTAGCATGATCAAGCACATTGGCAGCATGTTTTAACATTATTTCACATTCTGTTACTATGATTTAACATGTTGCTTGCATGATTTAACACATTGCTAGCATTTTTTAACACGTTGCTAGCATGCTTTGACACATTGCTAGCATTTTTAACATGTTGCTAGCATGTTTCTAGCATTATCTAACACATTGCCAGGATGTTTTAACATTACTTCACATTTTGTTACTGTTTTAACATGTTGCTAGCATGTTTTAACGTGCTATTAGCATGACTTAGCACATTGTTAGCATGATTTAGCACACTGCTAGCATGTTTTTACCATGATTTAACACATTGCTAGAATGTTTTAGCACACTGTTAGCATGATTAGCATGTTGTTAGCATTAATTAGTACATTAATACATTAATAGCGTGTCTTAGGCTAGTTGCTAGGCTTGGCTATAGATAGATAGATAGAGATCCACACGAAGCCAGAGCTTTCCCTATCCAGTCTTTTTTTTTCTTGTTCTAAAGAAAATTCCGTAAACACAGTGTCATCTCAAGAAATATCTGCGTCCACACGAAACCACTGAAACGGACTCAACACGATGTAGTATACATGCCAGACCAGTATGTGGCGCTGTAATTCTGCCCCAGAGATACACAAAAAATGGAGAAGACTAGGAGCATGCGCATAAACGTTGTGCGCTGTATACAAACCCAACACAACAACAAGAAGACGATTTTGCAGAAGATTTTGCTTTAGTAAAGCTAATAGGCTCAGTAGCTTCTGCAGCACGAACACAAGCATGTAGTCCACCATTATTTAGTTGTTGTTGCTGTTACGTGACGTAGCGGTGTCTGACTAGGTTTGAGACGTGGGGTGATGACATCATCGTTCAAAAAAAATACAGATTGGCTGTACACATGAAACCGCAAGGGTGTCGTTTTCAGATTTATCCACTCTGGGAACCGGTTTAAAAAAAAATTGCGGTTTCAGGCTCCCAAAACGCCGGATCCATCTGCACGAAACGATACGATATAAAATTTTTACGTATACAGTTAAACGCGTCTCCGTGTGGACGGGCTCTAAGAACAGTCTTAAGATCTGAAGAAGAGTTTGGTGGATGTAGCTTGAAAATTGAGTAGCGTTCAGAAATGTTAGTATAATAATAATAATAATAATAAACAGTGTTTACCAGCTGCTGGAGAAGAGCGCATACACTCGTGAATCCCTCCAGTCATCAGCATGCTGGATGAAAACGTCCTGCAGGCGGTTAAAGTACAGTGACTCTCTAGGAATCCCGCACACAAGTCGTGCCTTCAGAAAGGAGGTCCAAATGTTCTGGAGTAACTGCTTGGGACCGCCCTCATCGACCTATGAGAGATTGATGTTTTTAAAGATGGACAATGTTCTGCTGTCAGCAGACTGATGTTTTCATTCATAAGCCCTGGAAGGTTTCTTCATTTCAATGCACTTCATATCAAGAACACAACTTCTGTGGCTCATGCTTTGTTTCCAGAATCTGATCTCTGTCCTGCAGTCTTGTGTTCTGCTGTAGATGCTTTCACCTAACTTTGATGATGACAGTGGTGTTGTCCTTGCTAAAACTGCTAACAGAAGTGCGATAACTTCTTGGATGCCAGGAAGGCTTGGAAGTGTTGAATTTGAACATCTATGTGAGCTCTTCAAAGTCCTCAAATTTCCACCTCCTGAATAATTTATGGTAACTAATCCATGACAATTAGATGACTTCATAAGATAAAACCATTCATCCTCCTTGAAATGTGTAGGATGATCAAATTGATGTCAAAGGTCATTATTCCACAACAATGGTTCTCTCAGACTAGGTGGGTTCGTGTGGGAAGCCTCACAAAGGACTGCCACATTTTTCATATGTAAGTGAGAAACATACCTTACACACTCTGGCCACTCTAGATATCCAAGGATCCGCTTCTGGACTCGTGTCTGAGTTTTTCTCACGAAATAAGACATATATCTTCTCATTCAAGGGGTCATTCTTGTCCTTGGCCAGAAAACTGGAAATAAACGTGGGTTCTGGGGTGGGGGGGGAAATCCATACTAAAGTAAATTGACTAATTAGAGCAGATATATAAGATGCCAGTTTAGCAAAGTTATATCTACGGGATAATTCACCCCAAAATTTGGTCATCATTAAGTTATTCCGAACCTGTATTAAAGGATTAGTTCACTTTCAGAATAAAAATTTCCTGATAATTTACTCACCCCCATGTCATCCAAGATGTTCATGTCTTTCTTTCGATAGTCGCAAAGAAATTAAGGTTTTTGAGGAAAACATTCCAGTATTTTTTCCATATAATGGATTTCAAATGCAAATTCATGCATTATGTAATCCCGTTGGAAAGGTCACACGCGGTTAGCTCTTCGTCTGTGCACTCCGGTTCAGAAAGATAGGATAGGGCGAAAAATCTAATTTTCTCCTCCAACTTCAAAATCGACTGACATCGTTGTTTTACCTTTTTTTGTAAAGGGCGTTTGACTTTCTTTGCACGTTCGCTTTGTAAACGCTGAGTCGGTGCTTCCACCTACAGTATGTCGCACGTGACCTTTCCAACGTGATTATGTAATGCGTGCAGTCGAGCTAGTGCAAGACGAGCATTTGTGGTTAAAAAGCTTAGACATTTTTATTATTTTTTTAGAAAATGACTGATCGTTTCGCTAGATAAGACCCTTATTCCTCGGCTGGGATCGTGTAGAGCCCTTTGAAGCTGCATTGAAACAGCAATTTGGACCTTCAACCCGTTGGCTCCCATTGAAGTCCATTATATGGACAAATATCCTGGAATGTTTTCCTCCAAAGCCTTAATTTCTTTGCGACTGAAAAAAGAAAGAAATGAACATCTTGGAATGACATGGAGGTGAGTAAATTATCAGGATTTTTTTTATTCTGGAAGTGAATTCTTAATTTCTATCTTCTGATGAACACAAACTAAGTTATTTTTAATTATTTTGAAGAATGTTGGTATCCAAACAATGTTGGTATTCTGGTAGCCACGGACTTCGATGATATTTTTTCCATACTATGGAAGTCAATGGGGACTAGCAACTGTTTGGTTACCAACATTTTTCAAAATATCTTCTCTTATATTCAGCAGAAGAAAGAAACTCATACAGGTTTGGAACAACTTAATAATGACCAAATTTTTATTTTTGGGTGAATTATCCCTTTAAGTCTGATCTAACCTTTCTTTGGGGATATTTGGAGATGTTCTCAATTACAAAAAAACTATTTATACATAAAATAAGTATTTGTGTATTTACATAAAATAAGTTTTCTTCTACTAATTTTAGTGAAAATTGTGTAATTCAACCAACCTGAGACCCATTGATCATACATCCATACGCTGTTTCGTTGTCCAGTTTTTCTGCGAAACTGCAGCAGGGTTCCATCACTGTACAGAGGAGCTGCCACATAGAGATCTCCATCTGTTTATAACCAAAGAAAGCCTAGGTGTTACACTAAATAAGCAACCAAAATCCTCCAGCTCATTCACAAAGTCTGATCAGATCAAGCTGCTTGTGCTCCCACATACCTGCCACCAGCGACAAGGAGTTTTGTGAACATGTATAAGGTGAGATTCCTGTGCCATCTACAACCTCTGTGGAATGATTGCTTTCTCTGGGAAACTTTGGGAAAGAGACATTATTATAGAGAACAGAGATATGGCAAGCCATTTTAACATTTATTCACTTGCAAGATATGAATTATAGATATCCACAATTGAAAATTTCAGAATTACATTTTTGATATCAAGAATTTGTATATCTGTGAGTAATTATGTAATTGTTTATATAAAAAAATCAAATTTTTACTGTTGGAAATGCCATAGTAAAATGAAATTTTTACTAGCAAAAAGTATATTCTTCATATCAAGAGTTTTGATATAACTGAAAATTAAACTTTCAATAAAAAATTCAATCCTGAGAATAATTATAAGTAAAATAAGCTTGCCATCAACTAGTAAGACACTGGTTCTCATTCACATATTTGTGTGCACAAATGTAAACCGTCACACATAAATTATTACTCATCACAGCTTTCACTAAATTTTATTCTAAACTTACACTAAAATTTACAATCTGAGACTACACATCTGCAAAAATGCAACTTGTAAAGTCGACAAATGTGAGGTCCTAAACATGATTACAAATAGTCTAAGCATGTATTAAAACAGTTTTCTGTGTTTTGTTTTGAAAAATTACAAATTTTTAAGAATTTTGTTTTGATTTTTCTCAGGGTGTACCTGTAGTTTGAAAATCACTTTTTTTTTGTGTTTTAGGTAAAAGAAATGTTTGTAAACTTAAAAGGATAGTTCACCCAAAAATGAAAATTACCCCATGATTTACTCACCCTCAAGTCACCCTAGGTGTATATGACATTCTTCTTTCAGATGAATACAATCGGAGTTATATTAAATAATTTCCAGGCTAGTCAATGCTTTATAATGGGAGTGGATGGTAGCTTCCGCTAACTGTTGTACGCGCGTTCACGAGAGAGTGGCATCCAGTGGATGACGTAGGACGTAGACGTAGCATAAGCTCTGGTGAGAATATGCTAGTCTTGCGAGAAACAAGATTTGTTTACAGCAGTGTTTCTCAACCCTGGTCCTGGGTGCCCCCCAACACTGCTCATTTTGTATGTCTCCCTTGTCTGACACCCATTTCAGGTCCTGGAGTTTCTTCTAATGAGCTAATGAGTTGAATCAGGTGTGTTAAGGAGACACACAAAATGTGCAGTGTTGGGGGGCGCCCAGGACCAGGGTTGAGAATCACTGGTTTACAGCAAAGGAAAACCAGTATCCTCTTGGCTTATATCGAAATCCTCCGACATTTTTCTTTAAAAATCCTTGTATCTTTAAAATGTTTTGTTTTGCTCTCTCCTCTGCGCTTCCGTGTTCATCACTGTGTTTGCCTACGTGCTACGTCATCCGCTGGAACACCACTCTCTCGTGAACACGAGTACGACAGTTAGCGGAAGCTAGAGATTAAGATTTATAAAGTTGTAAATATGGATACTTTTCTTACACAAACGCATTGCTTTGCTTCAGAAGGCCTTTATTAACACACCCCCGGAGCCGTGTGGACTTATTTTATAATGAATGGGTGCAATTTTTTGGACTTTGGGCTACCATCCACTCCCATTATAAAGCATGAATTAGCCTAGACATTTTTTTATATAACTCCGATTGCATTCGTCTGAAAGAAGGAAGTCTTGATGGCTTGAGGGTGAGTAAATCATGGGGTAATTTTCATTTTTTGGTGAACTATCGCTTTAACAAATAATGTCATTGCAGAAAATTACCAGTACCTATTCAGTTTTATCTTACAGTGTGAGTATCAAATGTCGCATGCTTCTGTTGTGAATCTGGTGGTGATTTATGAAATTATTGGTGAATGAGGCACGTTGCGAGTAGGCACAAAATAACATATAAAGTGTCATTCAAAATGATACATGATGCAAGTTAAAACTCAAAATTCAAACAGAGAGCTACACTTTTTTTCTCAGTATGCTCTTACTACAAAAAGTAAACCACAAGGCAACGTTTAGAAGAAGCTTTGCGTTTCTAAATATGTAGCAGACTATGCCAAAGATGTTGCTATGTATTTTTATTTCTTACCAGTTTCCAACACTTTGGCTGATCTCCATTCGTTCCACATACAAATGTGTAGTCTTGAAATCTCTCAATTATTGTGATTACATTTTCACAGGGGCTCTGTATAGATGGAGGAATATCAGTAAGACTGTCAAAATACAAAACTCAATTTGTTCTTTCTTTTTTTCTCTCTCTTCTTCAAAAGAATTATAAAACTCACCTCACCACACCTTAAGTTTGGATTCAGAGTAAAGTTCTAAAAAATAAATAAAACATATAAAAATTTAAATATTTTATTATTATCTTGGTCACAAAATCTCAACACTTTGCAATATTTATGTAGACGTTATTTTAAATTCAAAATAGAAGACTATGTGTACACAATTATTTACCTAAATGTGTATAAAGCAACCATGGAGATAATTTTTTATCACTTATCAATCACACAATTAACATTTTAATTATTTATTGCAACTATAGGAACAGATTGGACTTGTCTGTGGAAATAAATCTTTCATCGACACCTGAAACAGACCTTTTCATTCGCAGACACGTTCAATATGGACACTACTGTCTGTGTGCGTCACAGCCTTCAGTTACTGAAATCTATAATTTAACATAGGCTAGACTTACTAATTACAACCAGTGCTAAAAGTCAGAGCTCTTAATTTAAGCCTTAGCAGAATTGATCAGAAAGTGCAGGGTTAGAATATCATTTTAGTCAATGCTGAGTTACTTCTCCAATTTATGAGTGGTTCACACCCTACCTTTATTTATTTATTTGAAATAAAATAATTTGATATAAATTTATTATATTAAAATTATTTGAGTAAATTATTTCAACGAAAATGGCAAAATCCTATAGTAATTATAATTGCATTGTAAAATGTCACATAACATGTACATATTAATAACCAGTTCCAGTTTAATAATTACCTCCACAATCTGACGACTACCTACATCAAAATGTAGAACATTATTTATTCCTCCAACAAACAGACTCATTGATCCTTCCTGATGGAATAAGACTGTATGACTGTAATTTCTGTTGTATAAAAGTGGAGCATAATCTGGAGAAAAACAAAACTGGATAAAGTTATGTTGTCTAGAAAGATAAGAGTGTTTAGATATTGCCTCATTTGATTATTTAAAACAATTAAAGTCTACTGTATAAGTGCATTTCCGAAACAAAAAGTGTGTAAATGAAGGTTGGAGTTTATTTTAGGTTAACTTACCTTGTTTTAGAGTTAATCTCGGATTATAAGAGCAAAAGACGCAATGGAAGCACGCTCCATACATAAACCAAGGATACGCCAAATTCCTTTTGATGTGGACAGAGAAATATTGCCGTTTTAGGATCATGGTCCTAGTTAATCTGCGCAGAGTGAAACACAAGCTCTCATGTCTCCTCTGTCAGTATCAGAACGCTTCCTCTCTCGAGCGAACGGAGTCTCGATCAGTCTCACCCGCGAGATATATCCAGCTGCAGACCCGCAGCACCAGCAGTTTCAGAACCGCAGTCACAGAACCGCAGTCACAGAACCGCAGACACAGAACCGGGAGTGAGGGGCGGAGTTATTGACAACGAGAGAGCACAGTGAGTATTCTGTAATGTTTTTGCTATCATATGTTTGATAATTATCGTATATATTACGTTAAGCATTTATCTGCTAAGTACTTAATGTGTGCTTGGCTTTATTATCTTATATTGAAACTTGAATT